CCCCCAAACTTAGTACAGCCTTTCTCAGGGTCACACATCACTCCCTTATCCATGCTGAAATATATTTCATTTTTGACTTGGCAAGTTAGTGACAAGACACTGTTTCAGCTGTAGGACTGGTGAACTTGCAAGTACTTCCATACCAATCTGCATATGAGAACTTGGGTCTTGTTTTGCTGCTAACCTTTGCTTCCAGCTGTAGTAATTCTGTTAGTGTTTCATAACCCAGTATGGAAATCTGTATTTACATTACCCAGCGGGTCCTGAAATCAGTATCTTGCTATGGGGTCCTTACAGTGGAAATTGAAATACAATTAAGACCAGATTAGTTCCATTTACTTAACTGGCATTAGTACATATTTACTCTGCTTCAAACAAGAACAACAGCACAAAACACAAAATAGTATCAGCATCTGTCCTGAAGTGATTGCTTTTGTCTACTGAGATCACTCACTTTAAATTCAGTAATGCCTTACTTGTAAAATGATTCCTGAGAAAACAGCAGGATAAGCTAGGAAGTAAGATGCTAAGTAAGGCCAACAGACTGAATGTCTCAGTATTTCTGCTGTCAGTATTACATTGTGGTGCTCCCTCACACAACACATTGTTTAATTGATGAATAATGTGTTTCATATAAAAATAGGGGTTTATTGAGTGTCTTTGATCTGATTTCACTCACTCACTCTCTACGTCCTCGAGAGTTTTCATTAGGATAATATTTCTTTTTAATTGGTATAAAAAGGCTGTGATTTTGTTTGATGCTTCCTTTATGTTCTGTCTCCTTTAGCTATAGCTTTTGTATGTATAAATTAGAGACTCCATGAATAAATATTTGCTAAAAATTAAATTCAGCTCCTCAACTATAAGCTTAAAGATTAGGTGCTCTTCTCACTACATCTGTGGAAGCCAGGAGCAACCTCTATGCAAGTTTGAGACACATAAAATTGGCAGAATCAAAAGACTTAAGTCTTTTGAGTTTTGCAGAGAGATCATGAAGTTACTTTACACCACCCCTCTGGTTGGGGTACACGGGTCCTTTACAGGCTCCTGTATCACACAGAGACTAGCAGCAGTAACTAGATGATATTTACAGTTAAACATTGCCAACAGATAGCCAGAGAGAGCTTGTAGCTCCATCCCTTCCAGCACACCTCTGCAGCAGCAAGGGAGGATAGGCACCATGTTCAGCAGGAGCAGGACATGGCAGGGCACTTAGCTCACTTACAAGCACAACCAGGAAGACAGCTCTTCCATGGGGTGTCCTTGCTGAGCATCAGAGAGCAGCAAGAGCAGGGCTTCTCCTTAACAGAAGGTGAGCCAGGAGGGGAAGGGCAACTACACAAGTTATGCACTGACCTCAACAGCAGCATACAGTACCAGAGACAGGCAAGCAGCAGTAGGGTCACAGGAACAGGTCAATTAGCAGCCCAGCAAGTATCAGGCAGAGACTAGGTAACAAGTCAGGTCTAAGAAAGCTAATAGAGACAAGCACCTTTATAAGGAGAACAGGCTCAAGCCTGGACTTAAATGGAGCCTCCCCGGCTCATGTGTGTGGGTTTCAGGTGAGGTTGCTTAGGGCTATCAAGGCTTGTTAGTGTGCTCAGGGTACTACCACTGAGATCATTTCTCACTACAGGCATGAGGTCTCTTCCATTTCATAGCTGTAGTGAGGGTTCTGCATATTCATAGCCTAGATTGAAGACTGTATTTTTTTCTCTGGAGTGCAGCACAGAGATGAAAAAAAAAAAGAAAAAATCTCTCAGCATATGAATGGGATACTAAACATTTCTTAATGGATGCAGAAAGTGATACTGGGCCAGACTGAGAGTGGTCTATTCAGAAGGAGCTCTGACTAAGCATGGTGGTTTGCTTATGATTTAAACTCGATAGAGAAAATGTAAACATCTAAATTCCTGAATAACTCTCAGCAATTAACTGATGGCATATAAAGTCTGATCAGAAGACATCTGAAGTGATAACACCACCTGAAGCAGTTATGTAGTACCACACCCAATAGCTGTCTGGAAAGTGAGGAACGAAGAGCTAACACCTTGGGCAGCTGGGTGCTATGCTTACCACCTCTGCAAATCAAGAACACAAATATAGGAGTCAGATTTTAAAATCTGGGCTACAATGGACCAGCGGTGAGGTTAGGACTTGAGCTCATGGCTTCCTTGCCTGCAGACCAGACAGCTCACCAGAGAAAGGGATTAAGCAGAAGACATATAGCAGTGTTGTCAGTGATGACCTTTTCTGCAGTGCAGACAGTTGGGATATAATTTTTGGTAGTTGAATTCCATTTCACATCTGAGCAAATGTGGTCAACGAAAAGATTAAAAAAAAAACAGGCAAAAAAAGCAGTTGTAAAATACATGAAAACCTTGGAATACAAAGAGTGCAGTTAAAAAAAATAAAATCTACTTTTAAAAATTCATAATGTAAATCCACTAATTATCATTATTATTGACGGTGGCTAGCTTCAAGGTAAAAGCTATTGGAACTTTCCCATTTGGAGATGCCTTCTAAAGGAAAACATGGTAGAATACAACCCAAATATATCAGTTAAGGACTGCTCTTGGTTTTTAAAGATAGTCTGAACTCAGCCTCTGGTCTCTACCAAAAATTTAACTCAACTTGAGCAGACTGTTTCTATTTAAAATGTTTAGCTCACTCTTAAGCTACATGAGTGCAATATCTGAAGCTGTGGTTCTCACACAGCCCAACAATCTTTGATCAGGCTAAATTGGAGGAAATATTCACAGCAAAAGAGCCCCTGGTGTGACTCATAATTAGGTTTGTGCAACCAATGAAATAAGCTCATTAAGAGATGTTAAGAATGTAAATATAATTTTGAAATCAAATTGTCTGAAAAAATGTAGATTTGGAAACAGAAGATGAAGCGTGGCAGAAGAACTATGACAGGCTGTGTTAATGCAAAGGCAGA